GTTCTAGGAGCACATACCATAACTAGTATATTTGCAGTCATAAGAGAGAGATGTCTAGACTGAGACTTGAAGAGTAAGTAGGAGGTAGCCCAAAGTAGAGGTCGGGGAGAGGGAGAAAAGATATTTGTGGCAGAGAGAACATTTGTTTAAGGATGAGAAAGTGATTCAGTATGACTGTAATTTAAACTTTGAGGGATCGGGTTTGAAGAGAGGTAAGCAGGACCTAAATTTTAATGGCTTTGTAAACCATGTTAGGATAGAGTCCAAACTTTTCAAATATAATGGGAACCTTTACAAAGATTTTAAAGAAAAATTTATATGATTAGTTTTATGTATTAGAAAGGTTATTGGTTGTAGTATGGAGAGAGAATTAAAAGATTGAAGATTGGAGGTTATTGAAACAATGCAGTGGTAGATTGTGACAATGGGGACCAGGGTCCTATTAAGGAACTCCTCAGTGGGCCTGACAAGAGAAGACAGATTTGAGAGAAATTTAAGAAGAACTTAATTCTAATAATGTAACCTGTGTTTCTGGCTTGTGCCTTTGGTTATAAAGTGTCATCAATAACTAAAACAGGGATACAGGAGAAACAGGTTTGGTAGAGTGAAGTATTCACTTTTGGACTTGAGTCTGAATTGTCTGGAATGACCCTGTGAAAATATAATAGAAGGCAAGAAGATAATACATGTTTGCAGAAGTCTTTGGACTGGTAATAAAGATTTGGGAGGAATCAGCATGTAGATGGAAATTGAAGGGATGGGAGATGACTTGGGGAAAGTGTGGTAGTTGGGTGGAAGGCCTCGTGCAGAATCTGAGAGGAAGAAGAATCTGCAAAGTAAGCCAGAGATCTTAGAGGTGAATGAAAATCAGTATACTATCACTTGTGCAAAGTTGAGTGTGTTTCAAAAAGAAAAAGGGATGATAAGCAGTGTATTTTTTTTCAGAGTCAAAATTAGATAAGGACTAAAGATATCCATTGGATTTAGTACTAAGGAAGTTGTTAATGACCTCCCTGAGAGAAATTTAGTTAAGAGCTGAGTCTGTGGTGAGGAAGTACTCACAACAGTTGAATGGAGACAACTCATTCTTTTAAGTTTGTCTCTTAGTGTGCAACCAGAGATCTATAGTTGAGGTTGGACTTAACCTTTAGTAGAGTTTTGTTTTAAAGATAAGAGAATTGAACATAGATAATATTTAACTCCAGTAGAAAAGAATGAATAGCAATCGAAAGACTGAAGATGGATCAATCTTGGTGCAGTTATTACTAAGCAGGTACAGAAAATAAATTTGATTATTCTTTAAGTTGAACAAATTTAGGAAGGAGAAGCATGGCTTTTGCCTAACAAACACTCAGAAGCTTAATTTACAAATGAGAATACCAGTTTTATAACTGTTCTGGGGATTAAAAAATATGTTTTGTCTACATGTTTTTTTGTTTTCCTTAGGAAAACCATATACATGAGAAACAAAATTATAATCTGAAGTAGATTTTGTGAGCATGGAATCGACAAGGAGAGTTAGTTGGATGTTTTTAGTGACAAATGAAATCAACCTATTAATGCATACAACTTCACTTTAGGGCAGTAGCTCCCTCATGGACTAATCAGCAGTGTCTTTGGTTAGGGCCTGCTCTCTTTTAGATAGTGTTCATGATTGCTGCCAGATTTTACTTCTCTGTCCTTTTTCTCTATGAATGCCCCTTCTGTGGCCTATTATTTCTAAATTAATTTTACCCATTGGATTTTAGAAAGATCTTTCTGCTTTTTATTCTAGATACATTTTTTTTTCTTTTTAGAGGCTTCTGCAACCATTTGATTTATTCTTTTAGATATTGATTTTATTAATACCACTTTATTAATACAATTTCTGGTAATGCTTTGTAGTATCACCTATAGCATTTATGCAAATCAACTATAAAATTACATAAATATTTGAGGATTCAGTTATTTTTATGGCTTCATAACATTTTTGATGTAGTTGGCATACTGATTAAAAAGAATAGCAAGCAGTCAATTTTTAAATATTTTATTGTAGTAAAATTTTTTACTGTTTACATAGGTTAATTTTTAATTCTTCATAATTTTTATATTGGGTACCAAGAGTTTGTTTCTATTTTCAATAAAAAGAACTATGAAAAATATTCCTATAATTCAATTTTGTACACAACTCAGATTATTGTTTTAAGATACATTCCTAAAAAAGAACTTAGTCAAAAAGGGAGTGGTGAATATTTTCATTCTTGTTAGCAGTGTATGACCATGCCTATTGTACTTCATTGTCCTTTATTAGTGGGGATGTATTATTTTCATACATTTGTAAATTTAATAGGAGAAAAATTATTTTAACTTTTATATTTAAATATTACAAAGGTGATTGACTTCCATTTCACTTTTTATTTTTTTATTTATTTTTTACTGTTTCATGCGATTGTGTATGTAAATTGCCTTTCTTTAGTACTTTTTGTCAGGGTGAGAGTGGAGAAAAGAGACATGTGAATAAGGGTTAAGCTTTTTTTTTTCTCAAGGAGGAATGAGAATGTTAAGTTGTTCCAAGGACATTGATTAGTTATCTAAAACTAAAAGAAACCTTTTTAATATTTTTAGAGGATTCATTTATTCATTATTTATTTCGTAGTATGACTATATAAAAGTAGAAGGTTTTCCTGAAGATGAGGCGACTGAATCGGAAGAAAACCTTAAGTTTGGTTAAAGAGTTGGATGCCTTTCCAAAGGTTCCAGACAGCTATGTAGAGACTTCAGCCAGTGGGGGTACAGGTGAGTGTTAATTCACATTAAAATTTTTTCATTAAGTACAACTTCTGAGTGATCCAGTTAGCAACATACGGAAATGTAACCGTGAGAAAGAACTCATCAATGAATTGTGCAGTAATTTTGCAACTGGTCTGTCCCCATGTCACACTGTTTGCTCTAATTTTATTATATGTATTCTCTGGCATCTAACTCAGTGCAGTATGTGCATTTAACAGTGATTTTTAGAGCATTACCGAACAAATTAATTTAACTGTTTTGCTGTTGAGTTATATATATTATATTAATAAGGTTATTATATATAAATATAATTGAACTTGGAAGAAATTATTTAATATGAAACTGCCTCAGTCCTGTTTTGGTTAAAATAAATCAGTTTAGACATTATAATAAAAAATACTAAATTTCATATTACTGGAGACTTTGGAACCAGACCTTCTCAATTTAAATCTCACCTCTTCTTCTTCCTAACTACTTGACCTTGAGGAAGTTAATCAGTCTGTCTCTGCTTTAGTTTCTTCTTTCAGGAAATGGGGATAATATCAATATTTACCTGATAGGGTTGTGGTAGTGATTAAATAAGTATTTATAAAATTCTTAGAGCAGTACCTGATATAGATAGAAGTATTTGTTAAATAAATAATGAAATAATAACAGTATTTACAATTATTTCCCTATGAAGCGCTAATAAAATGTTTCACATAAGATTGACATTCATTCGGTAAAATGTGTGCTAAGTTACTATTTCTAATCTCTTGTGATTAAATTTGTTAACAAAAATAATGCAAGTTCTTGCATTATCCATTTTAAGTGTGTTTTGTCATAGTATATGATAGTTCTTATCTTTTTGTCAGATATTTGATAAATGACATGATATGTTTAGGAGATTCCAAAGTAGATGAGAGTTTTATTAGCAATTTGGAGATGTTATTTGAGTTTCTGGTGCACAGATTGTTGTGGCTTCTCATTATCTAAAAAATTAGACTGTGCCCCGCCCCCCCCCCACACACTTTATTTTTTTTTAACTGGGCTGCAAGCACAGATACATGTTTAGTTGTGAAGGGACTATTTTCAAATTTGTATTGTAAAATTTATGCTTACTTTGATTATTTATCTGTGACACTGCTATGTAAGAAAGTAAAAATTTTGTGTCATAAAATTTTGCAAATCTATTTTGTGAGAGATGTTCTTCACATTGAAGAAATAAAATGCTATCTCAGTAGTACAAATGTTCGTGTTAATTTTTGTGTTCATCTTTTTTGAGCTGTTTTAGAAAATAGTCTATAAGAAACACTTTAAGAAAAACCTTTTATAGTATTCATTCACATGGCAGTCATATTAAGGCATTCTTTGATCATTTAATCTCACTTAAAATAGTTTCCTGTTGTTTACTTTTTAAAATTGTTTTAATTCTGTTTGTTTATTTGTTTTATTTCTTAGTTTCTCTAATAGCATTCACCACTATGGCTTTATTAACCATAATGGAATTTTCAGTATATCAAGATACATGGATGAAGTATGAATATGAAGTAGACAAGGATTTTTCTAGGTAACTATTTTTTCCTTCTTGAAATGCCTTTAGGTGCAAATTGTTTTAAAGGTAGCATATCTATTTTTTTTTAAAGTCCAACCTTTTATAGATGGTTTGTTTTAGTTCTGAAGAAATAGTTCTGATTAAGTCTCATCCATTTCATGCATTTTTTAAAGGTAGCATATCTATTTTTTTTTTAAAGTCCAACCTTTTATAGATGGTTTGTTTTAGTTCTGAAGAAATAGTTCTGATTAAGTCTCATCAATTTCATGCATTAGGTAAAACATTTTAGAATCGCTTGAATACTAGTTAAATTATATAAGAGTAGTTCTCTGATTTAATACACTGTTTAAAAAGGTTAGGAGAACATAATATGTTTTTTCTTAGATGTTGAAATAGTGGAATTGTTTAATGTTTTGAAACTTTACTCTTTAGATTTTGACATAGCTTACCGATTTGTGTGAGCTAGAAAATAAATTGTCTAAAGATACATTGTATATACTTATAACTTGATTTTTGTAAATTATATCTAAACTAAATTTTAATGTAAATAACATCACTTAAAACTTGAAAATGTAGTACTGTAATTAGGAGACAGAATATACTTTATATTATTTGGATTTTTTGACTGATCGAATATAACAAGTTTGTAATATTAAGATTGTATTAGACAGGAGGAGACATTTACTTTTCAGTTCCAATCCCAGCTCTGCCATTTACTAGCTACGTGACTTCAGGGAAGTTACTAAATCTATATCTACATGTGTTTTCATTTCCTATTATGTTAAATGGAGATAATAATTATAGTCCATTCCTTATGTTGCTAATGAGAAGTAAGTCAATATTTATAAATCGCTTTGTAACCTTAAGTAAGTCATACAACTGACTTCTTTTGGGTCTCAATTTCTCCATTATAACATGAGTATTAACTCTTGATAACATTAGTTTTCAAAAAATATGTTGTCTTTCTTATTTTGTTTGTTTTTAGTACCAGTGAAACTCTTTTTATTTTTTTCCCAATGGAGTCTTACATAGTTCACTACATAAGAGTAGTGGGGATGCCCAGAAGCCTGTCTACTTGGTCTTGTCCTCTGGTTGCTACAGCATCTCCTGAGCCTAAACCCCAGGGTTATTTGGAGCACAGTTTGAGCTCTAGATAATTTTAAGACTCCATGAAGCTCTGTAAATCTGTAATTCCTATTGAAACCAGAAGCATATTTTTAAGAGCGAAAAAAGTGTTGATAGGAAGCACAAGACAAAACTGATTGATTGTACTCATTCAGTTATTCGTGGTGTGTAATCAAGTCTAATATTTGAAAGTTAATTTAATATTAACTCATTATTTGAAAAGGCATTAAAAAGTTGAGCCTTTTAAAAAGGCCACGCAAAACTTTAAGCATCAGAAGTCCCCCCCGCTGCCCCTTATTTTTTTCTGGCCGTTTGGTTGCATTTATCCTGAGTTACACAAATCTAGTTTCCAATATGCCATTTCAATGGTTATGTGATTTTTAAGCCTTGCATTTACACTTCCCTGAACACCATTGGCGATCTACAAAACTGTGAAGCTATCCACTTTATAGGTCCATGATAAAGAATAAAGAAGATGTTTGTAGGAAATTAGGCATAATGCCTGATGTATGGTATTTATTTGATAAATAGAGGAGAAAGTCTTGCAATTCCTAACTCTTAATTTTGAAAGTTTTAAATGAATATTCTACATAAGGTTTAAGTAAACAAAAGATAAGACTTTTTTCTGAGTTGCTTGGTATTATTAATTGTAGAGTTGCCGTTAATCAAAGGGTACTGTATTAAAAACATGAAATCAGAAAGGCTTTTGGAACGTTCGCAAAATAAACTTTCACTTTTAAAGTGCTTTTGTTTTGCCCAGGAGAAATGATACCCAAGTTCTAATTAGCTTATTTTATTTTTCTTGAGATGCAAGTTTTTCATAGATCAGTTGATTTATACTTTTAATGTTTTTTTGAATAATTGGTAATTACTAATGTTTTCATTTTGTCTTGTAGCAAATTGAGAATCAATATAGATATTACTGTTGCCATGAAGTGTCAGTGTAAGTACATATTTAACTTGATGAATTCATATATAGCTATGGTTTAAACCAGGGGTCCCCAAACGCCGTGCCGCGTGGACTGGTACCTGTCTGTGGCCTGTTAGGAACCAGGCCGCACAGCAGAAGATGAGTGGTGGGGCAAGCAAGTGAAGCTTCATCTGTATTTACGGCTGCTCCCCAGCGCTAATTAGCATCACTGCCTCAGCTCTACCTCAGATCATTAGGCATTATATTTTCATATAAGCACCAGTCCCTGGTGCCAAAAAAGGTTGGAGATCGCTAGTTTAAACAATTGCTGGTAAAAATTGAAAACCACTGGTGGTTTTTTAACATTATTTTCCCTTTGGGGTGTCTTAAAAAGCTATTGCACTGTTATTTAAAATGCAAATTGTTTTTCTCCCCAGCTTATATTCTTAAACTTCTTCTCCATAAAAAGAAGAGATTTATCTTTTACTTTACTATAATTAAAATAAAATTGGAGGAAATTTTTGTGAATCCAGAGTTTTAGTTTCTGTATATCCTTTATTTCTTTCTTCTTTGGAGTACCAGTTTTTATACCCATGTTCCACAAACATATCCTGTTTAACTCTGTGAGTTTACTACCCGTTGTTCTTACTCTTGTATTTTAAAATACAGATCCAAGTCTTTCAAGTTGATAGTTATGTTACCCTTTTCCGTTTCCTTCACACTGGCTTCACTTGATTATATTGGTAAAAGTGAAAAAAATGTTAATATGCCAGATAATGCTTGAATTAGTATTACTATCAAAAATGAGGATGCTTTTTCATAAAAGTTATCTTTTAAATTACTGCTTGAATTTAGAGACCAAGAATTTAGTAGTTGACAAAATTGTTTCAAGTGTGAAGTAGTATTATCTAATTAAGAAAACTAATTTCTGGGAGATTTCATCTCAGAACAATTTTAAATCTCTTTTCCTTTTCCATTTATTTTTCCTTATGTTAGTGGTTTTTTGAGAAAATAAATACTTTATATCTAAATTATGAGCTAGTGTTAATACTAAATACGTCATATTTTACCTTACTTTAGATGTTTGAATACCATTAAATTTTTAGTCTTTTCGAAATAGACTTTTTCTATTTGTTGATTTTTAAAAAGTCATCAGTAGCTTTGCTTTAAGATGTCTTTTAATCTCTAAAAATAATTCTTGTAATTAATATTTTGTTTAGCAGACATTTAGTACTTGTGATTAGGTTCTTGCCAATTTTTACAAAACTTTTCAATTCAGTACAGTTTATACTTTTTACCATGAGATTCTAAGTCATCTTTTTTACTGAGCAAGAAGCAGAAAAAGCATTAATTCTTGGAATAATCTCTACCAAAACTATATAATGCTACTGTTTTATCTTTTGAAAAAATAAGCAATGTAACAAATTTGTTAGTTTATATCAGATGTAGTTCGGCTCTTAGCATAGAATGTAAAACTTCTAATTTTTTTGTGCAGATGTTGGAGCAGATGTATTGGATTTAGCAGAAACAATGGTTGCATCTGCAGATGGTCTGGTTTATGAACCAGTAAGTTTGATTCATATTTTTTATTTACTAATGTGCTTTGAGAAATTGTTTCCTTGAAAACAGTTTTGTTATCTGATTTTAGTTTTGTCTCAGCTAGTCTTTTAAGTAGATTTTCTTAATTCAAAAGTAATCCATATTCTTTGTAAAAGTTCAAAAGGAAAAGGTTGGTTCTAATGCCAAAGCTTTGAGATAACCATTGTTAGCATTTCGAATAGGCATTCAATGTCTGTTTTATAACCTTATTTTTATTTTATTTTTTTGTTAACGCTTTCCTTTTCTATTATAGTTATTATAGTGATGACATTTTCTTCTTTTCCTCTAATAATTTAGAAATGTCGTGTCCTGTTTGTAGTCCAATATTACCAAATTTAAGTCTTTAAAATTTTTTGAGCTGTATTTCTCTTATCCTAATCAAGAATGAAGTAGTATCTAAGAGAAATATCATATGCATTTACTTTTTCTCTCTCTTTCATACCTTTATTTCCAAAACTTATTGAAATACTGACATTCTCTTATTATTTTCATAGCACAATTTGTGTGTAATGTAATTGATTTATGAGAAAACATCATCACGTTACAGGGACAGGTATCACATTACAAGGGCTGATGATAACAAGTCATGACCAGAGAACTAGCCCTAAAGAAGCTATAGAGAATAAAGCATGGAACTCTCAGCTGCTTTGATTTGCTTACTGTTCTGTTGGCATTGTGGTACTTATGTTTACTATGCATTCTTGTGGGGGTTTTTTGTTTACCATTGACCTTTGCAAACTGTTTTTTAAGCAGAATTGCAAAGTGAAGATCAAAGGTGATGGAGGAGAATTAAAAGTAACTGAATGTGTGGAGGGAAAAAAAAGCTCTTGGGTCAGTTTGATTACCAGATTATTTTTAGTTTATAGCAACAAAATATGTTTATGCCTTTTGATCCAAACTTTTAAAATAGAAATTTCTAAAGAAAAAGTAACTTTGTTATTGCTGCTCTTAATCTTTCTAACTCCTTCTCCCTATCCCACTCAAAAAATTGATTTCATAGTAATTTTTAATGAGGTTAGGTACCTTACAAATTCAAGTACCATGTTACTGTATATTAAGGTGTGATCAGGAAATTTAGGTCTAGATGACTATTATTAGGTACTTTAACATTCACATTACATTTCATTTTATTGTAAGAATAATTATTCAACTTTACCTTTATGTTCTGTTGTTTTTATTTTTTAGCATTCTTAGTTTATGTTTATCACTTTGTAGAAGGACTTTATCAGCAAGAATAAGTGAGTTATGTTTACGAATTTTTAGCATGATTGCCTATGTCATTCTGTTCTTCATACATGTAAACTTAGCTGAGGATAAAATTCTTGCTTTATGGTGTTTTCCACTCCAAACTTTATAGACATTTCGGCACAATTATTTTTTCCTTTGTAGGTAATACGTTTACTTGAGCTTTTTTTCCTTTCACTTTTGAAATTCAAATATTTATCCTTTATATTCAAGTGTAGATCCCCTTTAGTTTTTTTTTGGTCCTTGGTGATCTTAATTTTTAAGTCATTTTTGCTCGTTTGTTTGCTTTAATGTTCAAAGCAATGCCTTTCTCTCTGTTTTCTAAATTATATGATGTTGAATTTTGTGGAGTGATTATCAATATCTTTATCAATCCTTACATTAGATATGTATTTTGAACTTTGAGTTCTATGAGATTACCTTGATCCAGCAAGATCAGTCTTCTCTTCAGTATCTTCATTATGTTTTAAAATTCGGTGATTATATTTTCCACCTCTAATATATTGTAGATCACTCCATTTTTTGTCCGTATGATGCTAAATCTCATTAAGAAATAATTAACACTTTTCTTCTTCTTTTTAGGAATGGTTTTATAGAGGAAAATTAGCTTAAGTATCTCAGATTGACCACTTCTTTCAAATTAATGAATATATTAATATACCCACTGATAAACTGATTATCTTGCTCATCTTTAGGATTGGGGAAGAAGTGGTCTATTATGTTACTGAGAATCGAAATAGAATGTTATGTCAGTTTCTATTGCCTCTCCCTTTTTCCAGACCTAGATGAAAGGAGAAAGGTATATAGTTTAGATATCCTGTGTTTCTAAGTCAAATTAGAGCCACAAATGGTTTTGGAAAGAAAGGAGGAAATTACAAATGGGTCCAGGATGGCAGAGCAGTTCACCAGGGCACCCCAAATTTCCTTTCCTGCATTTGTTTTAGGCTGAATTTAGGTAGAGTAAATTCTTTAACCAGTGTGACCATCCTCAAGAGCAACCAGCTGTGGCATGTGGTGGTCTTCTTGCTTAATTTAGGATACTGTCCAGGCCACACAATGGCTAGGAAATAACAGTGCTGTGGAATGCCCTCACCATGTGGTCTCTGGCACTTGATTGAATTCCTAAAAGTGTTCCTTGGATGGAGACTGCCTCTTTCTCAAGTGTTTTATCTTTTATCACCTGTTTACTCTGTTCCTCTGAATTGGGGATTTTACTTGCTGCCTAACATGGACTTTTCTGTCCCATGAAATAAATTTTCTCAGTTTAGTCTCCCTTGTATTCTTGTGTTACATAAGTTCTCAAAAATTTCCAGCATGTGGATGCTAATTTAGAATAATTTAAAGTAATGATATAAATTGTGTCCTAATTTTTATGTTTCTCTGGACATTGTTAGAATTGGTAATGTAGAGACTTAATTATCTTGAACTTATCCTCAAATTTATTTATGCTGTTTCTCTAACATTCTCTTCATATTCTAAGTGTCTGTCAGTCCTTCTCTTCACATTAAGTCTCTGATTTTGTTTATATATTTTTTTTCTGGATAGCTTGTCTCTGTAGCTAAAATTTAAGCTCCTGAGAAGCATTAACTTTTTCTTTTTTATAGTTCACAAAATGTGAAGCATAATGTCTTGTTAGGTATTAGGCACTGATGAATATGTTAGAATTATGTAATTGTGACATGATTGTTGATTATTCCATTGTAAAGAGTTTCTGCCATCTCTTCCAATTATTTGTGGAATAGAAAAGTTTAAGTTTAACCGTCATGTAATTAAAAGTCATGTCTCAGCTAGAAAGTTAGGAACTTAAAAATGTTTAATTGTATACTTTTATCAGTAATTTTTAAAATGTTTAACAATGTTTCTGGTAAGTATTCATTCCTTTTTCCTAATTTCTCTGAAAATAAGTAATGTAAAATATTAAGTATATTTAATATAATAAATATTTAAGAAATAATTTTACTTATTTTCAAATTTTACTCTTACTGTTTTAATATGAACTCTGAATATTAAAAACTTAACCTTAATGCTTTACAAGTTTCTAAATTGTGATTACTCAGTGTACTGCGATGGTTACTGTTTTGCTATTTGCTATTATATTTCATTGGTATTTCTTTATTTTAAAGAATTATTTTTTTAAAATATGGGAAAGTGAGGACTCTGGCAGAGTTGGGTTTATATACTGTCTCTTACTCTGTTAATTTGAAAAAATATTTTACCTTTTGAGGATTTTCTTTATATGCAAAAGGGAAAGAATAACAAAAAACTTATAAGGTTGTTAATGAAAGTTACATTAGACAATGAATTAGAGTAGCATAGTGCCTAGCAAAAAGTAGGCTACTCAGCATTTCCTTTACCCTTTGTGCTAAGCATTATACTAAACAGTTTGAGAAAGTCAAAGGAAGAATAACATAGTCCCTACTGCCAGTTGTTTTATTCACAAGGTAACGGGAATGGTTGCATGCAGCCTCATCTGTTTGCTTTGCTGTGTTTTACACATATTGGCATTTTCCTTCTGTGCTGTGGTGTGAGAAGTGTTGGGAAGTATAAACAAGTTC